ATAGTAACAAATCAATATTTTGTAAAATTTTGCATAACAGTAACATGTAAATGAAAAAACCACAAATCAATTTACCGAAAAAATCAATGTTACTCATTGAAGAAAGTTATCTTATTTAAAAAAAAAATATTTTCGCAATACACTTATTTATGAAACACGCATCGCGTTGTCTTTTATCGTTAGGTACTTTATCTCTTTTGCTAACTGATAATGTATGTGTTGCAGGATAAACACTCGAAGATTCAAACAAAATACACCACAGTATAGCTGCACTTACTTCATAACTATAATTTACATAATGTAAATAAGTATATAAAAATACATAAATCGGTGCCTTAGAGGAATGATATAAAAATAGTTAATTACAATGAATAGAGAGAGATTGAACAGAACGGAATACCATAATTTGATCTCAATGATAGGTTTATGTTGAAGAAGTGAATAAATGTCTGTGCTGTTACTCGTGTCAATCGATTCCTTTTATAAGAATGTTAAAACTGACAAAGTATTAAATCGGATACAAATCGACCTTTTTTACAGGTAGTTCACACTCTACATACCATATACAAATATTATATTTAGCATACAGTATATATGTTAGTGGTAATGTGTATAATATTGGTATTTTATAAAATGTCTAGGAATTTTATATAACACCAACTACAGCCGGAAATCTATAAAATTGTTTAAATTCTCTAAGTATTATATGAAATGTCAAAGGTTAGGTAATGTTAGATAACATGTTATCAGTATTAATATTTTACAATCTACCTTCACCTAATATAAATTGATTAGTAATCTGTAATATCGATAAGTTTAATGAAGTATGGTTTCAAATGCCAGACAGATAACGCGATAATTATTTCGTTACCATAGTGATTATTTTGAGTATTTTCATATTTTAGTCTTTGACAAAAAGTCGTTCGGGGATGGTCGAATGCATGAAATTAAAGATCGTAAAAAATATTTATATAAATATCACTATCTTAAAAAATAGTGTTTTTAACTGATAAGCGATATTATCAATTAGTTAAAGATATTGATAATGCTAAATCAAAAACAAAACAAAAACCACACGACTATTGGTTACTTAAAAAATATGATGTTTTTATAGTTAATAATAATAATAAACTAATTTATCCTGTTAAAAATAATGATAACAATATTTTATATTAAATAAAAGAAAGTGATGTTTTTGATGAGTTACATGATGCTCACCAATTGTTCGGACACGGAGGACGAGATAGAATGTTATATGAGCTTAGTAGTAAGTTTGAAAATATTACGCGCTTCGAAGTAGATCTTTATTTGTCATTATGCGAAGTGTGTCAATTAAAACATAAAAAAAATAGAAAAAGATTAATAGTGAAACCCATTATTTATAGTGAATTTAATATTCGCTGTCAAGTTGATTTGATTGATTTTCAATCAAATGTTGATCAGCTTTTTAAATTTATAATGGTCTATCAGGACCATTTAACTAAATTTGTTGTCATAAGACCATTAAAGACAAAAACTGCAGAAGTGGCTTATAATTCAGTGGATATTTTCACTTTACTTGGAGCACCTTTAATATTATAATCCGACAACGGTCGTGAATTTTCTAATCAAATTGTTTCTAACAGGAAAAATTATTAGCCCAATTTAAAAATCGTTCATGGAAAACCTCGACATTCTCAAAGTCAGGGAAGTGTCGAACGTGCAAACTAGGACATTCAAAATATGTTGATAACGTGGATGAGGAACAATAACACTTTAAAATGGAGTGAAGGTCTTAGATTTATTCAACTGATGAAAAATCGCGCTTATCATAAAAGTATAAAGAGATCGCCTTACGAAGCACTTTTTCGTTGTAAAATAAAAGTTCTACAGATTGCCAATTGGTTGTTTGTCATTTTATGAATAGCTTAGTTATTACATAAAATATTTAGAAAATGTATGTAAAAAAAAATATATTATACACTTCTTTAATAAACACCAGGTATTGTATAGAATTCCTAGACTTTTTTTATATTTGATATATTATACACGTTGCCGCTAACATACTCGTATAGATGGATAAATACTGGAGTATGTGCGTGGTGTAGGTTAACATCTAATCGTCACGACCAAAGACCCGTTTGGAAACCTTCGGGCGGTGACGGCGGCGGCGTTGAGCTGCAGATGTTATTGTACACCAAAGATAAAGTCGGCAATGGCCATAGGGAGCTGAGCGTATTAATGAATCGATTAGATCTCATTGCGCCGAATATTTTCTCAATCAGCTACGATCAGCCCGAAGTCACTTTCTCACATCTCACATGTGGATCGAAATTCGTTGTGATGGGCGTGGATTTGTAGACTTTGTGGCGTTGCTCGTACGCACGATCCGCCGACCTTACGGGGTTATGCAACATAATTTATATGCATCGAGGCCAGTGGCGTGCCGAATATAGATCTAAATGATGCCCAGGCATCAAGTTAAAAAGGGGTGGGTGGTTGTTGGATAATAATATGTATATAATACATGTATAATAATAATATGAATTTAAATATGGGTGGGTGGGTGGTAAACTAGACTTTGCAATTGGCATCAAAAACATTTTTATCTCGGCACGCCACTGATCGAGGTCATAGCCAGAAAAATATTTTGGGGAGGAGGTTTATAGTATAAATATTTAGCAAATTTTAAAATTTCAATAGTACGAGTAATAGTCATTTAAAGTCATTCAATTTTATTTAAAGAAAATATTTACGGATGAGACGAAAGGGTTCCGAATCCTAAATCCCCTTTCTAGTTAGGGCCTTCATATGCATGCTCGCATTGAGTTTCGCCACGACACGGATACCCGATGGCGTACGCAGTGACGCGGTGGGCTAAGAGTTCCAAAGATGCAATTACAAAGGAGCGCAAAATTATGCATAAGTCGTATTTTTATTTTACCTTCAAAAATGTATCCATAATATTTTTTGAAATATTTAAATTGTGTCTAATTGTACACACTACGTGTGAATTTTATGATGAAATTATGAAAAAAGCAAAAGGGAATTTATATAGAAATTTTCATATGAATAAATTATCAATGAATTCGCTAGTCCAAAAGCGAGAAAAGTAATTTTTCAAAGTTTAAAATAAACACTATAATAATAGATTATAAATATAAATTATATATTTAAAAAAATTTACTAAAATTAAAAATTAAAAATTTATATCATGTCAAATTTGTAATTGGTTTAAAGGCGATTTCTTCTAATTATGTGAGGGGCGTTAAGGATTTTTCCTATGCCACTGATTCACTGTATACTTAATATAATATGATGTTATGAGAAAACAACACATTTACCCTGAAAATTTCGATTAATGTTATGATATGCCGTCTCTGTATGGATCGTTCGTCACGCAATAAGACGATTTCTAAAATTTGAAATCCTTTGACGTACGCGGACGTTTTTGCACGGCGGCGGCTATCCTATATTTGAAAATTTAACATTTTATCGTTTTTATCGATGACCCTAAGTACGGAATTTGCAAGTTTCGCACGACCGAATATTTTCAAGACTGCCGACATGTCATTTTGGTCCACCAATTTAGTGCTCGATAGCCCGGGGATTAGATTTTTAAAACGATTCTCACGAGTCGATACACGTATTGCAGCGCCAAGGTTTCCCAACGGCTCTGACCGTCCACCGAAGTTATTTTCAAAGTCGCAGAGCATTAACGTCCAATCCCCGGACGCCCCGTGGTAAAAAATGCGATCGTCCACAACGGGAGGGACCACGCGGAAAACTTATTAATAACACGGGTTACGACGTACGTGGCTGGCGTGAAGATGGACGGAAGACCCGTACAAACAGTCTCATTGTCCGCACCGCGACTAGAAGAGCCCACTGCAAACGATACCCGAATCGATACGTATGTAAAAGAACACGTGTTCCGTTGACTGCAGCCTTCAGCCCGGCGGGTGGCGGTGAACAACGTTCGTGGTTATAATTTATGTACAATTCCTGCGTACTATGCACGCGCAAACGTCGTATACGATACGTGTATACATGTGTATTAATGGTATTAATTCTTTGGTGAAAGGACGACGATGACGACGACGACGAGTAGCCGTTTGCGCCGGATCCACCGGTGCTCCTTCGTCCGCCACTGCGCGCGTCCGTTTAACGTCGCCGCCGCCGACTCGGTACCCAAAGGGTGGTAGTAATCGTGGACCGATCCAACATACGTATATAATACTTTATATGTTATTATACGTACATGTACCAGGTGCCAACGTAGGAGGTCTTTGATCAACGATCTATTGTGTCCGTACACATCGCGCGCCACCGTGTACTAACAAAATGCGCATATACATATTATCTGTATCGATTTTATTATTGCGTACACCTATGTGTAACCACCGCCCACGTGACGGTTGACGAGTTTATTACACGTGTTATAATAGGTATTGTGTACATATAACCTTAGCGTAGTAGACATTACGTTTTTAAAAGTGCTCAGCAACTATAAAATTGGTTCTCCCGTCCTCTTCCGACTATCAACGCATTTTGTGGTTCAACCTTCAACCTCTCTCAAGGTACGCTGCCCCCTTTTATGTCGTCCATTTCGTATTGAACTACGCGCGAGCGCCATGAGCCGCCACTCGTACAATTATTGTCTTCTGCCCATGTAGATCACTCATTTCTCGTTTCGGTCCTTTAATCATGATAATCATTTGTCTACTGTTACATGCGTTGTATTACACATATTCTTTTTACCTACTATCTTTGGTCTTACGTTGATTTTCATTTGCATTTTCATTTTCATTTATATTTTTTACCTAAATATACGCTGTATACACGTTCAAAAGCGGACGATTTGATTTTTAACGAATTCGCTGTGTAATAATTAAAAAAAATTTTTCTATTGTAAGATAACTTAATAGTATCTACATTGTACATTATATTACCCGTTCGTATGAGCGTAACGTCGTTTTAACACGCGGTATTAATGTTCAAATATTTTTAAGATAACTCACTGCGGTAAGGTGATTGAATAGATCGTCCAAAATTCGTTTTATCACTGTGTAATTGGACATGTACTTTCTTTCACCGAACTGTCGCATTTGGTCAAACGTGACTGAAAAGTTGACTAATGAATCTCGTAGCACGGGCAAAAGCGTAAACATCTAGAAAAACATTAAAATCCCATAAGAATTTATATACTGCTGAATATTGTAATCAATCGTTTAAATTTTACAACAACGGAAGACTTGTGAGAATTTATTCGGTTTTTAAATATATATAAAATTATAATAAATCGATGTCACAGTTAATATAAGAATAAATAATACTTTAACTAAATAATAAATAATATTCACAATACAGAAATTTATAAAAATGGATATTGAACAAATACATCATGCCATTGCCTTCAAATGAAAACATCAGTGTTGAAGGATAAATTAAACTCATTAATTGCAAAAAATTAGATTTTCCCTTGTTGATTCTATGGATGTAAAAAAAAATATATTGCTAAAAATACTCATACGACGCGTATTTTTGAAATAGCTTATCAAGTCGAAAAACGATGCCTAATGGACAAATTTGTCAACTTCTTGCCGTTTCGTCTGTTGACAGTTATTAAGTGGAACAAAAATATTACAATATGTAAATGGCAAGTGACTCACAACGAAAAACTAAGTAGATATTTATTGACGTGTTTTGTTGACAATAAAATGGGGACAAACCCACAACCTATTCTTTAATGAACTGTCCAGTGATATTTTTTATGCGCACCTACTACAGACGTGTGCTAAAAATATTTATACTCTACTTCATCATAACAATATTATAATATATCAGTACTTTTTAGTACACGGCGCAAAATTATAAATACACCGTACTCGTGCGTTGCTGCTGTAGTCGTTCTAGTTAAGTAAAAGAATAATTTAATCAGCAATTCAACAGTAATGACTTATTTACGGAGAGCGGGGAGGAGAAAGCCCAGGATCTAAACTTCCTCAGGATTATAAATAAAAACAAAAAATTTATATCTACGGCCGAATCGATATGTGTGTTATAAAATGTATATAATGTGTAGCTTATAATTTATGATAGTATAGTTTACAACAGAGGTCTTCAATCCGCGGCCCACCCTGTCATAAAATGCAGTCCGCGATCGCATTTTAAATGTTTTCACATTAAAAATAAAATAAAAAACAATTGTAATTAAAAAAAAAAAAAAGTTTATCTATTTATGTTTTAATAATAATAATTTGTAATTTTAAAAATTGTAAGAATAAAACTGAATTTTTATATAAAATATATATTTATATATTTTATATAAAATACTACGAATGGCCTTCGAAAATACTTATACTTATACTACGAAATATATGAAATACTACGAGGTTTAAAAAAAATAATATGTGGCCCGTTGTATAAAAAGGTTGAAGACCTCTGGTTTACAAGATCGCAATACAAAATAATATAAAAAATTTAGTTCGAAATTCATAATCAACTTACTACGTAGATACACATAGAGAAAATATTAATTTATTATATATTATATATTGTGTGAACTGTTTAAATATAAATTTATATTATATTATGTAGTAACTTATAGCAGAGAGATTTTGGAGCATAAGGGGTTTATACTTGGGCTGCATCCAAATTGCATGCCAAAAAAAAATATATCCGAATTTCATAGCACGTCTTACAGAGGTCTGTCCAAATTGCATGCCACGTCTCAGAGGTGTATGTCCGAATTGCATGTCGGTTCGATTTTAGCAATTTTTTTTTATTATTTATTTTTAATATCCTGGGATGCTATATTTTATCAATCCATTTTCACTTTTATTTTGACATTAGTAATACCTTTCTTATTTATAATAGATAATATTTCAGAAATTACATCATACAGTTTTAAAGTTAATCTCAAATCGGACAGACCCCTGCAAGACGTGACATGCAATTCGGACATTCCAATTTATGTTTATTTTTTTGGCATGCAATTCGGGCGCACCGGTATACTTGTTATCGTTATTTTATAATAAATCAATGTTCAATTATAATATTTTAAACTAACATACTTTTTAGAAAAATTTGAAGCTGTCCTCCCTAGATGGGGTTTGAAAATACGTCACTCACAACAGCTACAATCACAATAATGTCGTTACCTTGCGGGGGTAGTAGCATAACTGTTGTATTGTTATTACACATTGATCCTTATTATATTGTTGTAGACAATATTTTTATTTTTATTTTTTTTACAAAAGTATCTCGGTAGTAACTTCAGTATCGTCTTGATTTCACTACCTCTTACGTCTCTGTTTCATCGTATTTTCGACGTTTTATTTCTCTCAAGGTATAAGGAAGTGCCGACGTCGTTCACGATGAAAAATCATTGACTATTATATTTTTACTTGGATAGATTTATAAGTACTAAATACCCGTACTTAACACCAGCGCACGTGTTGTGCAACAAAAACAACAACCATTTTTAAATTAATTAATATAATAACATGACGTTTGATATCGAAATAGTAATTTATTAGCAATACCTGGACAGCAGGACATGCGTATGTTTACTCGACGATGCATGATTTTTAACGGACAAATATAGTCTACATCTATTAATACCTATTCATTTTCGATAAACACTCGTTTACGCTGTAAATATTATCGTACAACGTATCGTTATTCTGTCATAAAGTACAATATAAACCACGTTCACGGATGTTTATAGAATAAGCATCTGATAGCATGTGCTGGGATTATTTGATGTATTATTTAAGTTATCAATAGATCGTTAGAAGGGTTATCTCAGTAGAAGTTTTGTGTATAAAATATGCAACCTAAAAATTTTCTGGGATTTGTAAAAACCTACAAAACCTTAAAATCTTTTTTTTTTTTAAAAAATAATAATGTTCACTTATACAACGAAATATGTATATATATATATATATATAGTATACACAAATAATAACTTTATGGTGCATGGTATGACTGCTGAACTAGTAAATAATGGAAAAATGCAACTCATGTTATAATTTGTATAAACAAAATCGTAGAATAATAAATAATACAATGTATTATACCCGCACTTGTAAAGTCATATTAAATTCATATTATTACCATAGAGTTCTTCATATAGGTACGTAAAATAATTAATTAAAAATTTTATTTTATTTTTATTTATATTTATTGACGTTGTAGTCGAACCAGGGCCAACTACATAAATCCAATAATTATGAAAAACGTTGGTAAATAATAATATGAAAACAATAGAATGTAATATACAAATTATATAATACACTTATAGCAATAAATCAATAAGAATGAAATTACGATAATTTTAAATGAATCGAGGTTTGGTTATATGAACAAATCGATTTTTAATTTATTTATAATTTTTATAACTGCATTATGAGAAGTGTTGCATAATTAGAGACTACGGCAGTTAATAAATGGACTTAAAAGCAACGAATTATTAAAGTACGCAGAATTTCAATGAATGAAACCCAGGATTTTGTTTGATCTGTTAACAATTTTGTTAATTTGAATTTAAATTTAGGATCAAAAATAAAATACCAAAGTCATTAATAATTTCTAAATTCCGATATAGTGTATCACCATCGCGATTGTAATTTACCGTATTCAAGTACTGTTAAATGTCATCCGGTATTTATTAATATTAAGAGTAAATTATGATAAGTACACTATTCATAGAAAATATTTATACCAAAGTGAATTAAATCATTTTCAACTGGGTTATTATCTAAACGAAACATTTTTAGATCATTGGTAAACATTAATTTACTGTTTTGATTAAACAGAATTTCGTTTTATTTATATTACAATAAAATATAATATTTGTTTTCAAATGTATAATATAATATGTTATTGGTATTTTCAATTGGCATAGTTAAATTGTAAACGCACCGTACGGTTAAAAATATCTGATTTAATTTTTTATTGTCAACAATTACGGACGGTATACAGATAAAGAATAGTATACAGATCTTGCTAGATATTATTACGATTATGTATAATAATTGTATAATTATGTATTGGACAGCCAACAGTTATCGCGTGAAAAGCTAAATGTACAACGGTTTGCAGTCTATAAACCTAAACGGATCAATTTTACTTTACGTACTGCAATAGTACTAACTCGTATTTTACTCGTTGATGTACCATAATACAAATATTATAATAATATGTATAGGTAACGATTTCAATTCACTATGCTCACCTTTGTGTCCTTGTCAAGTTTTTCGACATGGTTCTTGTACCAGTTCAGCGGGTAAGAGGGCAGCCAATCGTAATGGTAATCTGTTCCCATCACAGTCTTCACCTGTAATCGAATTCGTGTGTATTATGTACACGGATACACTACCGAATCAGCCTCAAATCGGAGAACAGAATAATAATAGTTAACGTACAGTTTAACACTGATTTATTGTTTATAAAATGTTGCGTAAAAAAAATATGCTCCGAGTAAAGATCGAACAAGTGTTTGTTTATAAAAACACAATGTTATACTATTACCGTCGCAGACAAATTTAAATAATGAATTACGCGAATGCTTGTCGAAGAATATATGTATGCTCTTCGGAATTTTTGCAGTATCTGAATAAAAATGCATTCATTCAGATATTTAATTACGTGTAATATGTCAACTTCTCATTGCTGTGTAATTATAATATATATATATTTATATACACGTATTTATGACCTGTCGAGATAACGGGCGAGCATTGAAAAACACGTAAAACAATATAGATAAATGATAAAACTGAACTACTAAATGACCATATTAAATGTATGCAAGTCGAGTGCGTTAGAATTATTTAAAGATTTACTATCGAATAATAAATATATTGACCTCGGACATAATAATATGTACTCGGATTAATTTGATCGATACACATACACACGTACACACACACACACACACACAAATACACATTTATTATAATGATAAAATTAATAATTGTTGGATATCAAAAGGTCAAAACAATAAAAGTTTGATTGGTGATAACTGCACATTAGAGATTTAACCGATAAAAAAAATATATATGTGTACATAAGTGTACAGATATATTGTTAATTAATGACTGTACTCACGTCTTTATAAAGCCAGGCGATTATTTCTCGGTTGTTCCGAAAATGTTTTCTGGCGATTTTCAGCTGCGTTCGCACTTTTTTTAGTATTTTTATGTCACTATTCCTATTAGCGATGAAGCCTTTGGTAGGATTACGGAATTTCGAGAGCATATTAGTGTTATGCGTTCCATGGTTTTTTATATATTCAACTGGCTAAACAAAATACTAATATTCAAACAATGCAGTGGGGTAGAAAATAATACAAAATGTATCAGTATAAATGATTATAAATTATTATGCGCGTATAAATGTATTACTTAATTATATAAATTAATGTCACAATTTTTTGTATTAAAAGGCGACTCACTGGTGGAACGTCATTGCCGAAACAGTAATTCATGTGTAACGTGGTAACGGATATGGCATTCGTGAAGTTTAAATCGTTAGCTCTTGAAACCACTTCCATGACTAGACAGACCAATAGCAAAACCAATACTTTAGTATTAAATTTTCGACCTATTTTATGACTGGCTGAAATATAAATACAATTTTAAATTACTTGTTATGCCCAGTTCAATGCATATTAATAATATTTTAAAGTAGATAGTCATTCAAAACTGAATTTGATCAAATGAAAATCAACTAAATCATCTTGATATTAATATATTCTGATTTGCGAAAGTCTCTTGAATATTTCAACTGAATTACCTACCGGAAGAAGATAACATTATATCATAAAAAAATTACACAGATAAGTTAATTATTGTTATTCTCAACACGAAAACCGAATAGTCTGTGTATTTCATTTGTTGATAATAATATGAATTTATTTTTGACCTTTTAACCGAAAAGTAATGTGAAGATATTGAACAGGTATTGGCGTTGGAAGTATTAAATTCGTAAAAAAAAAAATCGGATTTAAGTGATTTCTTTTATCAAAAAAACCAATTAAAAATATTTTTATCGAAAACATCGGATTTATTGGTGAAAATCGCATGTTAAAAAACCATTTTTACCTCTGTAATCCATTCGCTCATTTAGTTTATTTTCTTATTTTCAGTATGGAAACAATGATTTCGATTGAAATTAAATAGACTAAATAATATATGATACTTTGGAATACGTGAAGCTTTGTCTGCATGTACCGATTAGACACTGTTCATTCGAGAGAACTATACAAAGACTAAATACACATGTCTAAGAGATCTAGACTGGGACTGTCACTGTGATGGGTAATAACGATGTACCTAATATTTGTTTAAAAATATATATATATATATAATAATAATAATAATAATATTATACAATATTTTATACTTTCGACGTCGGCCTAAAGGTTCATGTAGGCAGAAGGGTGCCCCCCTCCTGTAACGGTTCAGCCGATCGACCCCTTCGATATAACAACGATAATATTATTGATACGACACTTAATGCAATATTTACATTATTCAAATAAATGAGTATTATTATAATAAAATAGCAAGAACTCTTGTCGTAGTATCGCTCACCTGTTATTATTTCATGTACGTCACAGCGAATCGAACCGTATTGTACTTGATCATTACCTACATATTATTATTGATGTTAGGTATTATATTGTTATTTTGGTCGTGTGTTCCTTGTCCCCAGACATAACGTAAACATACAAAGTCGATGAAAAAAGTTAATGACGACGATTAAACAGATAAAAATAATATTGGTGTTAATAACTGTACGGTAATAACCATGTAATGTAATATACTCGTATAATATTGCGTGTAATAGAAGAAAAAACAAAACTAGACATTAACGTGTTAAAACGTTAAAATAAATGAATTAAAGCTAATAGAAGAGCTATTTTTTTATTTTTTTTTTAAGTGACTTATAACTTTCGAGTTATTTGTTTTTTGCCGGTAAGTAGCTACTAATCAGTTCATTAATTTATTAATTACGTTGAGTACCTAAATAATTTTCCTAATTTAAATTCAAGAGATAAAATAAATATATATTTTTTTTGTACTTATGCTTTTAATGAAAATATCGAAATTATAATAATTATAGAATTTTGAAATGCGTTGTATTCCTGGACTTCAGTAGAAATAATAATAACGTATTTATATTATTATCTGGTTAAAAAAAAAAAAAAGAATTTAACCTATTTTTAACTGAGTTAATTTACTTTTTTTGCTTATTTCAGTTGTTACGTTAACAAATTATTAATTATAAGAAGTTACTTATTTAACCCTAAACTTAAAGATTGGCGTACGTATGGAGTGTCATGGGGTGTTTAGTACCTTCAGTTTATTTTGAAGTAAAAATATTTTTTAAAGAAGATAATTTTGCGTTTATGAGAATGAATTTATTCTAGTTTGCATTAGTACATGCATTAGTACATTAGTACATATGCACTAATGCCGCGGACATATATAATGTACATGTATACGTTATACATGTACATATGTAATAGGAGTATTAGGTATTTGTGTTTGTCATGTTATATAAGGGGGATGGGGAGCTTTGCCTCACATGGATCACCTAGGAATAAATAATTTTAGCACTCTCAAGTTTTAGACTAAATGGGCATAGACTTAACGTACATTTTTCGATATTAAATGAATTTAACGAGTTGAAAAATTAAGCGAAGAAAGTTAAATTTTGCTAACAGATCACATACACGTGGATGGATCGAACACATGTATTCGATAACCGTAGTGGTTTAGATTTTATTATTGTATAAACGTGTAGGTAAAAAATAAATAAAAATGAAAATCACTTGACAACGCTGTGATTAATCGTATACGTTCGAATACAAAGATAACATGTAATAACAATAATAATAATAATAATAATAATAATAATAATAGTAGTAGTAGTACTATTAATAATGATACGCTTAGACAGTAAAACAATTACTGTGCCGTCATTAGAGCGAGGTTCAACCTGAGATCGCCACTTCATTCCACAATATTTGGTATAGATTTGACGATAGACGTAATTAAGTACGTAATCAGATTGGGACGGTGGACCCGTAATAGACTGGTACGCTATCGGAAGTTCGTGACGAAGTTATACGACGATTATTTCTTTCCGCGGTCGTCAAGGATTAAATTCTGGGGATCATAGACAATGATTTTCGGTCTCCATCAATCGCACGCGCAACGGCGCAGCGCGCAGATTTCAACGTTTTCTGTTTACAACGTACCCATCGATCATTCAATGCGATAAGGATTTTTAATACTCATTTGAATCCGTCGTAAAGTCTACTTGAAATCGACTTTACATTATTTTTGTTTTATTATTTTTTTGTATTTAACATACAATTTTTGTTTAAATGCATTTTTGTAAAAACTTTAAAGACGAAATCAAAAAAAGTCGATTTAAAGTAGTCTTTACGACGAATTTTAATTAGTTTTCTAAATAATACATATTACATAGATTTATCGATCGGTACATTGGAAATAGAAAACGTCTAAATCCTTATGTTGAGCGTGTGATAGAGACAAAAAATCATATTACTGCAATCCCCTTCAATAGTAATAATAATAATATATGTTATCAAAACGTACACACAGATAAAACCGCTCGATACTAACGTATTATATACCTATTTCGGTAATGTATTTTCCTAGCACAGTGAACTTTTTATTTTTCGTTGGTTTTTTGCTCGGCTGTATATAAACTGCGGCAAGAAACAAATTAACATTATACAATCTACGGAAAAACCGTTAAGATACATTATACAAGCTGCGGTAATTTATTTTATGTATCTACCTATGATATTATATACGAGTACTATATAGTATCTAAATCATTTATACCTATCTATGTGTACGTATAGCGTTTAATTAATTTTGTTATGTGGCGTCTTGCGTGTTTCCATGTACTATTATCACTTATTTTTGATTCATATTGATTTTTTTTAAATTATTTGACACTATTAATTGTTTGCCATTCTGGCTAAACATTGATGAAAACTCCATCACGTTGAATTAAATATTAAACTTTTAACTACTTCTAGTCACATCCAACACTAGTAAATAGGTATTAACTAGTGTTATCAAAAGTAAAGGAACCAATATTTAGTATGTTTCGTTAAAACTCAAAATTACATTTGGATTTCCCTTACCATTTTATACGCAATACGCAACATAACATAAACGATATAAGTAAATGGGTACATATTATATTATTTTTATATGCAGTATTTAAAATAAATTACCAAAGTTTGTATAATGTATCTTATCAGTTTTTCCGCAGATTGTATAATGTTAACTTTTTTTTCCACAGTTTACCATCTCGCTTTTGCTCAAGTTTTTATTTTATTTACTTTTTTTAACTCAAACGATTATGTACGTCCCCTATATAAAGCTCCGTTTCGATCGTTCCGATCAACTCTTTGCGGGAACGTGAGGGTATGGGTACACAACAGTATATTACTCGTATTTCGAATGTGCCAACCTCAGCCGCCGCCGCAGGACACCCGTTACTCGCGCGCTACATTGCAATACCATATATTTTATTTGTCTTATTTCATATGCGTATTATAATGTATCAGATATAATGTGTATAAGTTCGCGCAATACGTCCGGTGGTGGCCTCAGTTAGTAATACATATGCGTGTCCGTCTTATAGTTTGGAGCTCGAAAAAAAAAAGAAACATTATCATATGTCCGGGGACCGTACACGGCAATCGAGCGCATGTGTTCCAATAAAATATAAAGATGTTTTAAAATCAAGGTGCGACACACACCAGCTGAGCCACAATTTATGTTCTGCCGTACTGGGGTGTAATGGTATACGAATAAGTATTTACGAACCATTTATTGTACATTAATATACCCTTATGGTCCGGGTTATCACGTGCTATATTATTATTAAACCCAGTATGGCATTAGATCAATTTTCGTAATTTTATTATAAAATCGATGCAATTACATAGAAATTAGCGGAACGCTGATCGAGTATGTGAATGTAGTTGTCAAACGCATTATTTTAATATTATTATTATAGGCATAGATTATTATTTTACAAGTTATTTCGAGTTCGAACACGATTGCTTGCAATACCAATATAGATTGTAACAACTACATTTCATTTACGTTTGATAATCTCACTGAAGAAGAATTTATTACATTTTATTTAATTCGGAACAATATAAGAAGTATTTACAATGGTTTTAATTTCTAACGGTTTCGACTCGGTGTATAGTAGGATGCATAAATTTACACATCGGTGTATTTAACTATCCTCGTCACTGCGTGAAGCATACAATGATTAATGAAAACCCATTTGTTACTACTACAGATGTGGAATTATATATTATTTCAGCCGCATTACACCATTAAGCGAAAATAATTCCCATTCGTTTAATACAACGAAGATATAAGTCTTATTGGTTTGGTGAACGATTATATTTAAATTCAAATACTTTCTTTCATAATTATTTTAATATAAATAAGAAGTGTACAAATCGTTTTCGATTTAATATTGTTATTTTTATAAAAAAAAAAAATATAAATCCTTATATCTTTTTGGGGAGGAATTTGATTGAACTATTAAGTTTTTTTTTCGATACACAACATTCCCCTTTTACCAAACGCACGTAGTAATCAATTGACCATCATAAAATTAAAATTTCACTTTGCGTATGAATTTATACAATATTTTACGTTAAAACAGTTATAATAGTGAACATTTGAACCATAAGTTATAGTAATTGAAATAGACAAAATATTTTAAATCGAGGAATAATAAATGTATGAAAATTTTAATAATAGGGTTGTTAAAATCTACTACGGTACATACAATATGTACTACTCATTATAATATTTTCATGTTAAAAATTTATTAATTTAAAAGTAACAATAATCGATAATAATGATTAATTAATCTTAAATTTTTGAATTTAAGGTATACACTATAAATATTTAGGAATCTTATAATTTTTATTATCACTACAAATGTATAGAAAATAAAGTAGTAAAATAAGAGTTTTCTTAAACTTTCTGCATAATATGTTAAAAATATTATTTAACGAAGGGTTCTATGAAGTGACTTGTTTTTTTTTTTTTAATATCCTATTAAAAATTCAATTTTAAAATTGTTTTTAATCTAAACTATTCGATTTATTGGACGTAGTCATCCGAGCTCTGGCTTTAATAATAATACGAACATAAAACTGATCATAAAATAAAACTATATAATACGAGTAGAACAAAATTATCGGATGATTCATAAACGTTTAAGTATCAAACATGCGTACCAAATTATAATGATGAAACTGTTGTGTCAGTTGTAAACTATGAAGTTATCCGATTTTTCGGAAAAAGAACATAAACAGTCTTGGTCTACGTGCAATGATAAATGATAATATAAACACATTTACCTCGTCCAAATGACAGTTAATCGAATAACTTCAAAGCACAATAGTGAAATGAAACACTCGTGTCGCGCGCTAAAAACCTGAGCGAATGGAATAGGACACTGTAATATCCGTAGTATCTCACGGAATATAGCTATATCATAACGTAGCATTAATGAAGTGCACCTCCCTTCCCCCTCAATGCTCTTCTATAACACTATACAATACGTTTTTGCAGTCGAGTATCTGTCAACAATCGAACACATAAAACAACTGCACGCTTATATTTGTTAACTAAGTTGTATTGAAAACCGTGTACACATATATTACTGGTGCTCAATACTTTGTACCAAGTGCGTTTGTTTTACTCGTATTTTGCATTCGCAATGTTATTAATCATTTTTCATGTACACGCGAATATAACCTGAAATATCTATGACTACGGTTTACCGCAAAACAAAAGACTCGTTCATAAAATTCCATCGGTTTGGCGTAGATATTGCGATACCCCATGCTCGTTGTTTACCCCGCACGAACGTTTGCCTGTAATCATGGATGGTTACGTGTTTTCGTGTAGGCTCGTGTTAAACTACGACGTGTTTGACAACGTTTAGCTGTACGTATCACTAGTATTCAATAGTATCGAATCGACGGAGAGAAAAGAAAGAAAGAAAGAAAGATTATCAAGTTGACCAACGGCAATCTCGAAATTATCACTATAATGTGTAGAACAAAAATATGAGGTAATTAAGCACCCAAAGATGGTTAGATTATGGCTCCGGGTTATTTTTGACTTCAATGTTAATAACTCGTTTAAATAAAAGAAAAAAATCGACAAGCGTGATTCGTGCAGACATCAGTGTATGAAAACAGTATTCTATAAAGAGTTAGACAATTAGATCCACGGGCTGCCTTCCGCACGCTCGTTTCCGTTGACAACAAACTTACGAGAAATCCGACGATGATTAATAACCACTTAAAATGGTATGTATATCCAAGGCCGCACTAACCAGGTGTGCAAGGTGTGTAAAAAACAAGGGTAGACGAAAATTTAAGGCAGCTTTATAAATCAAATCTCAAATACAAGTTATCATAATAATTACTTGTATAATAATAGTTATAAACAAAATATAAAACATATAACAATATATAACATATAACATATAAACAATAACTAAAAATCGTTTCGATAACATTTTTTAAGTTTAACAAAACTTAAGACAGTGCTGAAATATGACATTTTGGAGGGAGGGAAAGCAGAAAATTTGTTTGTGTAACGTAGGTGGCCAAATAGGTCGGAGCGGAATCGTTTTGGCGGGTTCGACTAGTGTCGAAACGACTTGCCGAATCCGCGACAACCACAGTGTCGTGTGTTTTACATTGAACACCTTTACGCTAACCATTTACTGTTATATCGTAATATTGTTATCATTCATTATTTACGCCTGGTGGTTTTCTATATTTCTTCCCGCCGAAACGTGCAGTACTGCAGAGCGATGCAATCCAACAGCCGATAGGAAACCGAATACAGAGTTGTACTTCGATTAGGGAAACACAACGGGGGCGCAGTTGTATAGGGTAGATCAGTGGTCTTCAACCGGTGGGTTGCGATAAGTTTTCTGTTTAAAATTTTAAAAAATCATATTTATATATATTATATAATTTATGTCATATGATACTGCATAAAAATGTTTTCGAATAGAACCGAAACCGTACTATTTTATACTACTTTAAATTTGTAGAAGATTAGAATGAACCCTTTTTTCTCAAACACTCATACTAAATTAGAAAAAATCCTCAAACCAATATGCAACATATACCACTAATCATTAACTATTGAACACATAGTGGAGGAGTGAACACAATTTACCTCAATACGCACCGACCTGAACATGCCATCCAACATAGTAAAAGTACTTAGCGAAAAACAAACTCTGAAAATGGTCACATTATTAAGTATCACAAATATTATATTAATAAATTTTAATTTACATCTTACTTCACCTATATAATACTTCATATGTAATATTGTAATTTTAAATCTAACACCTAACACATCAAATATGTAACATCTAATAGCTAATAATATTTGCTGTTGAAGCTTCAATCTTCAAATAAAAGAAAAAAATAATAAACAATCAAATGAAGTGATAGGTTGACTTAATTTATAAATCGCATTTACATTTTATATATTTATAAACTGCATTGTGTTAAATTGAGCTGAAGTGGAGGTATTTCGTGTGAAAACAGTTCGGGACAAATATCGCACTCATATCTTTTGTATATCAAAACATGTACATTTTTCGGTATCATTACATGTATTTTTTTTTTTTTTTTGTATCATTACTTGTATTAAAAATTAAATATTTCCTAAATACATAAAAAATATTAATTTTGATTTATTTTGTTATAAAAACACTTCTAATATGGCATACATTAAATAATTTTAACTTTTTTATTTGGCTTTCATGGCTATCGAAATTTACATGGGTCACGAAAAATGTTTGGTAAGAAAAGTGGGTCGCAGGTCGAAAAAGGTTGAAGACCACAGGGGTAGATGATATACACGAAACTGTATTATACAATAATATTTGTTTAGAAGACACCACAACCGCATGTGTCGTCTCCGTCCCATACACGTACAACATGCGTTTAATAGAACTAATTTTGTGTTGTCAGCTTTAACATTTGAGTAAAATGACCTATTGAACCGAAAAGGAAGAACACATCATCCGCGATATGCTATATGATATGAAGTTTTTACGATATTTTGATTTTCAAGCGAATTACGAACTGTGTAAAATATTATAATCCAAAGAAAATCAAAACGCACTTGAAAACAAAATTTTCGCCTACGCCATGATGGGCACGGATAAGAATACGTTGTCCCCCTTATAGGCGGACAACTAGGTCGGCGTTCGCACCGACAGTGTTCGAACTAATAAACGCGGTTTTACGGATTCGCTAGGACGTGTTACGTGTTTACAGGACGGTCGCAAAACCCGGTACACAGGTTTCTCTCGGGTGGAAAAAAAAACCGAGCGGTGCGAAAAAATATAAAGAGAACGGAAACGACGCTACAATGAACTCACCACCATGTGCATAGTCGGACGATCAAATATTACAATGCAACCATTGTTACGATCCGTGAAACGAGGGTGACCGGGGGTAGGTAGGGGTGTAAACTAACGAACGTCAGAGCAACGTGTGCACGCGCGCGCTAGTAAAATTAAGTTTCGATCGTCTCTCACCTTTAAACAGCATGTCTTCGTCGGATCGTGTCTGCAGCCCATCGTGTCCGGCACTAGTTAAATTAAAAAACACACTGCGCGCCGTTGGCAACGCGCACACACACACGGCGTACCGCCGCCGTCCATATTCCCCCCTACGCCACCGCGGTGCCCCCGCGGATAACGACAACTACCACTACTACTACCACTACTACACTACCATACTACTACTGATACGACCGCCACTACTACTACTACTACTACTACTACTACTACTACTACTACTACTACTAC